ACGATCCCAAAACAAAGCAGCAATCGAGCGTATAAATCTTTCGAGATGAGTCCAAACCAACCAAAGTGGCGTGCGTGCAAAGTTTTTTAGTAAAACTGGGAACGTGGCTACTGTTGCTTTGGAAGAATCATTCTACCGTAAATAGTGATAGGTACACGACCATTTGTTTGCCGGAAGTTATTGACAAACTCCGTAAAACTAACCGTAAACGCCGTATCATCCTGCACCACGATAATGCCAGCTCGCACACGGCCAGGTACACAAATAAATTTTTGAAGGTGAACAACGTTGACCTTATGAGCCATCCCGCTTACAGTCCTGACTTGGCACCTTGTGACTTTTATTTATTTCCAAAATTTAAGAACCTGTTACGCGGTCAACGATCTTCATCATCTGAAGAGGCTGTCGAAAAGTAGGAAAAATAAGTTTCAGAGATTGTCACGGCGGAGTGGCATAAATGTTTTCAAAATTGGTTCATTCGTATGAAAAGTGCATTAATGCTAACGGAGAATATTTTGAGAAACAATAAATTCATTTCTGACCATTTATTGTATTTTTTTCATTCCGGAAATTTATAGTGCGCCTCACGTATAGTTCGATAATGAGTTCGATTGACCGTTACTCCTTGCCTTTACAAAATTTGTTTTCCTTAAAAATCTCTGTTAGTTTTTGTATGACATTATCACACTGTATAAGGTTTATGTGTTACACACTTTCAGGTTTCCTTATCGACATTGTTAAGTCGCAGCTGGTCACACTCTTTTAGTAAAAAAAAAATAGAGCTCGTTGAGTTTCGTTTTCAAGCTTTCATTGTTTTTTTTTACAATTTGAGTCGATTCCATTATTGGGAAAATGCTTGTGAAATTTATAAACAAATTAATAATTTATTGATATTAATCGCAGATTTTAAGTAAGTAAGTAAGTATACCTACTCCAAAAGGGATGACTCCAGAACTTTATAATCAATCTCTCACATTTTTTACGACGCGAACGGTACAATTGATTGAACATTGGCCCGAGTGATTATTTAAAAAATTATATGTTAAAAAAATTGCATAACTTAAAAAAGTCGGAATGATCAATTATAATCAAGTGATAGGATTGACGTGAAACGAGTGATTTGTGAATGTCATGGACGATTAGAGGACACATTATCAATAAGCGATATTTATGTTTATCAGCACTAGGAATGGAAGTAGTCGATAAAAATTCTAAATAAATAGATTTATAGAAAAGCTAACAATAGCGTTTGATAATCCTTTTTCCTATTTACCTTGTAAATGCAAGATATTGCTTAAAAAAATGTCTAAAAGGCGCATCATTCTTCTATTGAGAAGCGGTTTTTCCTAATAATATAAAATACGGTGTCACTTTATTTTAGCTGTAAAGAAGCTTGATAATAAACTAGTGAGCTATTTGTTTTTTTTTTGGTAGGTCAATGGGCAAACCATGTTAAGTAACATTAAATCTACGGAATCCAATTTGTGCAAATGACCGTACCCTGATAGGTTCGACACACTCTATGAGCAAATGCTAAAACACGTAACTTAAGAGTGTTTCGGGTGGCACATAGAAGCTTGGTGGGCCACAGGTTGAGTATAGCAGCTCTAGAGAATATAATTTGAATCCCATACCGGTGTACTTTAACGACCACAATCCACGGCAAAGGAAGTTATCATGCAAACAACACATTCGTGTGTAGCGTGCGTGTGTGTCATTGTAGATGATCTCAGCTATTTGTATATTTTATTATAGCAATTCATTGTACAAGGGATACTTATACAAAAGTAATGATAAAAACATTTTTTCAGGGAACAAACAAAGCTAAGTGTACGTGCGTGGCGTGGGCGCAGTGGCAATAGGTCGGCCCACTATCACTAACTTTATTTTGTTTGTTTCAGTGGTTCCATGTATGTGCTATTGAAGAACTTATCTATATAACTAGAAATGGTGTAAACAAAGTCGAAGTATCGCGGAAAGGCACTCCCCTTTTCTTCACGTTCAAAAATGAGGAAGCTCTGTCTTCATTTATATCCGTTTGTGATGGATATTATAGGTAACCGATGTGATTATATTGTTTCACATGCAGATATTAATGTAGTGCATGTATGTATGTATGTATGTATGATTATGTACATTAATAATGTCCCCGACAACCACACGAATAGCTTGGTCTCAAATTAAGGAATTCACTGTACTAGGAGCAAAGAAATAATCCTGAAGTACTGACCAGAACATCCAGACTAGAAAGTTGCGTTTACCAAATTGATTAGCGCCCAAAGTAACACGTACAGCCAAGACCACATTAAGCTTGACATTTTGGAATTTGTATGTTCTTATCGTAAGCGGCACACAGTTAAATTGATATTATATCTTAAGTGTCAAGCTTTTCTTGCTCTTTACCCTGTATTTGACGCTAATAGAATTGTGTAGGCGTCTTAAGTGAGAAGCAACCGTACACCCACTACTACCGGCGTTCTGGTCAGTAGAACTAGATCTCCACGTGAAAAATTTCGTTCAAGGAATTACTGTCACTGTTAATTTCTGCCACCAGTTGTAATATGAGATTTTGAAGACTAAGGGCGCGTTCCCATTATAGCGTGATGACAAATAGTCGCGGCTTGTATATTTAAATGAAGTTGTTCACACATAGAACAACACGATTAACTAGAAATTTTTTTTGTTTCGTTATTTGATTGAAAAAAGTATACTTACAGGCATTGCAAATTTCCTTTATTTACTATTATTTTTAAATTATATTTGACAGATTAATGGTAAAATGGACGTTTAACTTGTCGAAGGATGACGAAACTCCGTCTTTGAAAGAGCTGCATAGGATTAAATGTCATGGACCTGTTGGGTAAGTTATGCAAATTTATTTATTTTGTATAAAAAATATGATCCAAGTCCAAATTAATATTTAAGACTAGTTTTTAAGTAACATAATATCTTGAAATTAATCCTTATAAGTAACCATTTCTATCAACATCTTAAAAATGCAGGATTTTTAATAATAAATAATAATGAACCATTTATGTCAGGCCAGGGCCCATAAGGTCATGGTGCTAGTTGCAAAAGAAAACCTTCGAAGTCTGTTAGTATGATTACAATGATTATTGAAAATTTAATTTAAAAAATCAAAATATTGAACTACAAAAATTGAAATATTAAAATTAAGGAAATGTACAAATTATTACTTAATTTTGACAGTAGCGATCTTAATCCAAAACTTTCAAATTGTACAGTCATCAAAACGATGGGCAAACGTTTTCAGGATGCCATTGCCACTGTCACGCACTCTCGTTAGCAGAGACGACTCCTTTTTTGTTTCACGTGGTCAATTCGATTCCCAGATGAGGCAACAACTATTTAAAAGTATTTGAATGCAGTGTTACTTAATTTTAATAATAAAATATCTACGAAGCAAAATATCCATTACCTACAATATTTAAAGTATTTTTTTTAACATCACAGAAAAGCTAACGGTTATTGTAATACATATTTAATTACGGAATAATGTGGTAACAATGGCTACAGGACTAGTCATGAACACAAGTAGCAGGGACAACGTGACCTACAGGTTATTCACGAATAATGATTGTTATGATGAGGTAAATGAGCATCTATGTACTGTAAGTCAGTTTTAAAACCATCGTAATTAAAATGTAACTAATTAACGAAAACTTGCACTAGGAAGTCATACCAGGAAACATAGAACACATTACGGTTTAAGTGCTGCGAACTCTCGTATATTATTGATTTTTTAAAATTATTATAACTTTTATATATCCGTAATATCATAGTATAATAAGTCAAGTAGTCCAACTCCCGCTTGTTCGGCGCCTCAATCGCTCGGAGCATAAGATTGTCACGTTATTGTTTTGCTTGTACCTACAGGTAGTAAACATAATTTGAAAAAAAAAAAGTATATATCAAAGTATTTTCGTGTTATATTGAAATAACCCTTTCAAATGTAGTAGTTACATAATTATATTTTTATACCGGCATTGTGGAGTACTTTGTCGATTATGGGAGTATGATTATGAAGAGAAATGAAAAACGAGGTTATAAATAAATAACTAACAATTTGCTATAAAAAAATACAAATTTGACACTAAACAAAATTTTAAATTTAAATATTTTAAACACCTAGCGAACGCTTTAATTTTGCAATGAATTGCGAGTGTGACCTGCGCTGTGCATTTCGAGTGCACCACAAGATTATGCGAATGTGTGCGTCCGTACGCGGCACACGTACAAACCGCACTGCTACGTTTGTATGGAGTTACACTACTATCTCTTATTATACTATGGTAGTATTTATAATTTAATGGAGTTATCACACTTATTAACGGGGAATCGGTTTGTTCCGGTCAGAAAAAGCGTTAGACACATAGACAATCACAAATAAAGAAAGAATTCTCACGGGAGAAGTAAATGTGGGCCATACAAGGATTTCTTCGCGGGCCGGGAATCGAACCTAGGACCTCTGCGTGGCAGTCCGGCATGGCAACCGTTCGGCTACAGAGGCAGTTAATATTACATAGCTTATATTATGTGCAATGAGAGTGAAAGAGCTCGTTTTGCTTCTGCTCGGACCGGGTCGATGCAATACGCACTATATATTTTTGCGATTCTGTGTTGATATAAGTGTGGTGACCTTTAGACGCTTGTAAGTATATACGTTGTTTAATGCGTAAATTTTTGTTTACAGAGGCGCATTCGCTTATCGAAAATTAGAAGAAAAGCGCGCAAAGAAACATGGTTGTTACGTACTACGTCAATGTCAAGATGTATACAACATGTATTATTTGGACGTGTGTACTAAAAATAGGTAAAAATATGATTATCATTTTACTATAAAAAATCTCACCGTATATTTGCTTGATTATTAGCCGAAGATGTCAGCGAGAATTTTCTTAAATTGGATACCAAACGACAATCTACCAATTAAAAGTGACGGTCTTCAATCGTGTTTTTATTTACAGTACAACGGAAACTTACAAGATTGAATTCAAAGGGCATTGCTATGAGTTCAATAAGCAAGAGTATTCCAGCATCGAGCAACTAGTCGAGTGCCACAAGAATGAAGAAGGGCGGATATTTCTCAATGAATGTATACCACCTTCGGAATATGGTAAGTAACACGTTCGTAATCATGTTTCCTTTAAAGACCGTGTAAGGTGTAAATATAATTTAAACTGAATGTTACTCGATGATCGCTTGCATTATTCCATGTCAATGCTTTTCGAAATCACATAGCCAACGATATGTCGTCGTTTCATTTGCACTATTCACGTTTATTTGTTACTATTATTGATACAAAGATCGAACAATACAAAGAAAAATTCCTTCGATCTCACTGGACTCGAACCAGTGTCTGGTGCTCTGCCAGGTCCACCGCTCTTAGGGTGTCATCACACCTGTGGACACGAATCGCATTAAGCCGGTCAAAAAAAGCCTATATCCATGTAATAAGCCCGAAAAAGACGTTGTGGTTTCGTATCGGCAGTCCGAGCGGAATCGAAACCCGCCTTTTTCGCTCCTATTATAAGGGCATGAAGCTTTTTCAGATCGGCTCAAGCCAATTCTGCGTTAATAAGTGTCACGATTTTTATAACCAACTGATTTACAAACCTCGGTCTCCAGAGTTTCGGTCTGTAGCTCAGGGGGTCTACTCTCGATCTCCATCAGACATCCGTCGAAACAATTACTGCCAAATAAGCAATACTTGACCAAAATGAAAAGACGCGTGATGCGAATGAAGCTTCATACTGGATACTTGTCTTTTAATTTTGTCAAATATTACTTATTTGACAGTAATTGTTTCGGACGGATGTCGAACGGAGATCGTGTGTAGCCCCCCAGACACTGGTCCGTGTCCATTCAGATCAAAGAAAATTATTCTCTGTGTTCTTCGAACGTATCAAGGTCGAAGAACATGAAGAAAAGAGTACAAAGATAATAATAATAATAACAAACCAGTAGAGTATTTTCACAAATAAAAAATTAATAACATATCATAATAGTAGAACAATTCAATAAATAAACATAACATATACGTTTGCTAAGCAAAATTTTACTATATATTTCTACTTGAAAATCCATATTGTTTTAGAATTTTCATTCAACTTCAAGTTCACAATGAATAACAATAAATAGTGCCGTACGTAATAATTACTGTGTGACTTTACATAAGTAATCAATACATATAATAAAATCGTAAAGAAGCTAAAGTTACTGCTACACGCTATTGAACCTAAACCAACAGTTTACAAAGGTTTACAGATTTTTTTCTGTGCGTTTGTGCAAGATAATCTCCACAGTGGCTGAAACAATTTGGGTGTGATTTTCGGTGATATATTAAGCTAGAATTAAAATTTATTGTTTGTTTCATTTAATAAAATAATTTTCGGTTGACAAATAAAAAAATGTCAATTTCATGTTTCTTGTTTACACTCGGCGTACACAAGTTCGGAGCGAAGTGCATGCACTGCTCAAACGATTGGATATACGTGAAAATACTGCATTGCAAAAATATTAGTTATCAGTAGATGTTCAAAAAAGTCAGCGACATGATAAATACATTTGAGTCCAAATAACAGTTCTAATGATAAAAATAAATTGAAAATTATATTATCTTTAAATGTGCAGTCATTGACAATATACTTTTGTTCGAATATCGTGTAGCTGATATGCTGAAGTTCGTACTTATTTCATATAGTCGAAGTTTTGTAAAAATCTCAAAGCGACATTACGAAAAATGTTCTAGGGAGCATGTTTTAGTTTTTCATCACTGTTTTAATATATTTATGAATTCAATTTTAAAACTTAAACTTTTAATTGAATTATTTACAATACAATAGAAATTGAATTTTAAAACGGAATGTAAATATTTTAAAACAGCCGTTAAAACCTGATATATACTCCCGTGAAAAAATGTCGAATTAACACTTTCTCCTTTTCTATAAAACAGCGACGATGTATAGGTATATATAATAGCAAAAATAGTAAATTATAACCAACAGAGATGCGTATGTAAATGATTCATATTTGCGCGTATCAAATCGCGGGTCTTATTAGTAATATAATAATTGTAACGTGCCATACAACCACACCAATTACCTGGTCTCAAACTAAAACTAACAATGAGGACTAAAGAAACGGAATCTATCCCGTGCATTACCGGGAACTGAACCCGAGACCTCCAAATTCCGCGCGTACAGTGCAAACCGTTGGGCCACCGAGATCAATGATATAAATTTTAAATTTTGGGATCGGGTTTTAATAAATAAATAAACAAATATGTAGTTTATTAATTTATTTCATATTAGTACATTTTACCTCAATAACAACCTACTTATTAATAATAAGGTTTGTAGTATTCTGTAATATAATTTGCTGGAGTCATGCCATAATTTAAGTCCGGAATAAGCAACATCTTTCCTGTTCTAATAAAATCTAGCCTTGAAAATATAAAGTGTGTCGTGTATTTTTTTCATGTTTATGTATTTGTTTTTCAAATGTTTACGATAAAAGGAATTCTTATAAAAGCAGTTAAACATCAAATCTCTGTAGTTAAGTGTCCGACCATTTGTGGATCTTTAGAAATGTCCATTTGTAATTTGGACAGATTATATGTATGTAAAATAATACGTGGAATGTCTGCATTTAACCACTTCAGTTGCCTCGCGGTTGGTACCACGACCCCGGGCATGTTCCCAGTTTTAGATTAGCATCGATTTGGGAAACGAACTTTTCTAAATTATTATAGATACAAAACTCGAACAACACAAAAAAAAATCCCTCCATTTGACTGGACTCGAACTAGTGCCTGATCGACTGGTTCGAGAAATAATAACAGTATCATTGTGACAATGCTAACCTTCTTCATCGTGATACCACCTTATTATCGCGTTCTTTACTGGTTCCTGGCCACTTTTAAAAATTGGAATCCTTCTCGAATTCCTTTTTTCTTCACTGTTCTTACGTTGGTTCATTACGTCATCATTCCCATCAAAATTCTCAAAACGAGGACGTGTTAATAAATCATCACCCTCATATAATTCCAAACTTCACGTTTCTACTTCTATCTTTAAATAAATACGTAGACCGGCCTTTCCATTCGCTAAGGCTTGGCTGCATCATACATCAATAATAATATCAAACTATACTATACAATATTTGCACAAAAAATATATGAATGTTACGGTAGTAAAACATCATGGGAACAAGTAAATATTTTCTCAATTAGTTCTGATCTGGGTGTTTAAACCAAACACCCAGTTTTCCGGAGTATATTCCGTTGCACCGATACTCCCATTGCCAGGAATCACAATAATCAAATAGTTTGGAACCAGATTATTGGTGTGGTTGTCTGGCACATTATTATTTGCATATTTACTATATACTAATGCAAATCTTACCTGTTTCAAATGGTGTACATGTATATATTGCGATAGTACGTAACATTCATTTGGGTCAACAAATGTTCTCTTTTGTTTACAGACAAATCTCAACTGTTGCTTTGTGGTGAGATGCAGAAAGTGGGAATGCGTGTTGACCAAGCTGACTTGCAAGAAATTCTCAAAGACAACAGGAGTCCACGATGCTTACCCAACAAAGACATTTTGCTGTATACAGGTCAGTGTAAAACTTATGCCTATTACCATAGAAAGATAAGTTGCGTAACTTCATACAAACGTATGTGTGCACGCTCGCCGCGCGCTGTGTACGGACACACATTAGCATGATCTCACGCCTTTCGCATGGCGCTAGTCGCACGCACCAGTCTTTGTAAAATAGAAGCGTTCCCTCGGTTTGAAAAATGACATCAAATATATATTTTTTTATTTATTCATTTTGACTTAGAGGGTACAAACAGCTTACACTATAACATAAAAGAAATGAAAATACCATTGGCAAGCAAACAGTTCCCCAACGAAAGATATAAAGTTAACTAAAAACGCATTGGTTACACTGTCCATTTAGAAAAAAAAACAAAATACAAATAAAAAACACTTTATTTCACATTGCGACCACATAGTTGATACCTCACTAACCCATTTAATGATAATAATAAAGCTCGCAAAACCAACATAAAAATAATATTTTAATATTTTATTAAAGGTTTTGCGGATAATTTTATATTATATAAAATTGGATAATTTTATATTATATAAAATTATCCATAAAACCTATAATTACGAAGACGCTTGCTCGAAACCCTTATGTGGATCTCAGAGAAAAGTTCTGGGCAGTCTACAATATTTGTGGTAATTTTAATTAGAAAGCAGATGTCTGCTATCTCAATTGAAGGGGAAGGATGTGGTGTCTTCTACAGATATCTAAATAATTGCAAGAAAGGTATGGTTGATTAAACTTGAAGCACAAATAACGAATTTTTTTTTTCTATACTCTTTTTATACGTTGTGTTCCAGATTTGAGAGGCGTAATAAACGTGTTTGTACTGGGTCAAGAGCACGTCAAGCTTGACACTTAAGACTTAAATCCAAGTCTATGCCGCTTACGATAAGAACGGTGCAAAGTACAAAGGGTCAAGCTTGATGTGCTCTTAACTGTACAAACGTGCCGTTCTTTATATAGCAATAATAAAGCTTTTAAAAGAAATCGTACCACACAGGACACACACACACTCACGCACACGCGCGCACATACATACACAAATACATAAATGTACATATACTTAAATAAACGATGAGTCAATGTGATACTATTGTTTGCGCTTAGAACAATAAATAGGTTACCACGTTGTATGAGATTCATAGATGCATAAAGTATATTTAAAGCACAGCGGTGTTTCAGTCAAGTTATTTAGTTAACTGTCTAACATATTTATAAAAGTTCAATTTTTTGGTTAGAATTTAAATGGTGATCTATACTTAATAACTAGGACATCCCTTATAACGGATCAATTAAATTCAAATTCAAATTCAAAATAATCTTTATTTCATAGGTAAGCATTATTACACTTGAAATCGTCACAATGGTTAAACTCTACCGCTCATTCGTAAGGCAGATTCCCCTGAGAAGAATGAGCAAGAAACTCTAGGGGTTGCTCTTTGTAAATAACATTACAATTTTTTTTTTATTTGAAACATCAGAGATCCACGGATTTTTGTCATCCAAGTACGCAGAAGTTGTATAATAACCTTTACTATAAAGTTTTTGTTTCACTATAGTTTTAAACCTCGTGAATGGCAAATTTTGTATATCAACCGGAATCTTGAGAAGCGTATACATTGCCCCTTAAATGATTTTTTGACTTTGTGAAGACGACTATCAAGAAAAGCTAGTTTATTTCTATTCCTCGTATTAATGTTATGTCTGTCACTATTTTTCATAAAGAAATTACTATTCCTTTTAACATAAATTACATTTTCATAAATGTACTGTGAAGCTAGTGTAAGAATGTTAATTTCCTTAAACTTATCTCTCAAATACTTTGGGGCCCAGATTGTAAATTGCCCTAACTGTACGTTTCTGCAGGACAAAGATTCTATTGATATCGGCGGCATTACCCCAAAGCAAAATCCCGTATGTCATTAGACTGTGAAAGTAGCTGAAGTAAACCAATCTAGCGGTTTCGACGTCTGAAAGTTTCGTCTGATAGTTTTGATAACTTACTTATATGGGGACCCCATTGCAATTTAGCATCTAACGTTATACCTAGAAATACAACTGTATCCACACGATTCAATTTTTCGTTTCTAACTACAATGTTTGTAACTGTCTCTCTAACATTGGGTAATGTAAATTTCACACAATTTGTTTTTTTCTTATTAAGAAGTAGGTTATTAACAGCAAACCAATCAACTACTTTAGATATAGCATTGTTCACATCGTCGTAGGAACATTGGTGCCTTTTAACTTTAAATAATAAGGAAGTATCATCAGCAAACAATACTATCTCATGTTTTATACCCTCCATAAGGCTAGGTAAGTCATTAATATAAACTAAAAACAAAAATGGGCCTAGAATTGAACCTTAAGGTACACCCATGCTAATTGCAGATCCTGATGATCTCGTACCGTTAACATCGACTCTCTGTACCCTACCACGCAAATACGATTTAAGAAGGTCGAGATCACGTCCCGCCACACCATAATGGCGAAGTTTCCTGACCAGTATGTCATGGTGCACACAATCAAAAGCTTTGGATAGGTCACAGAATACACCAATAGCATCTAATCAAATCAAATATATGATTAATCAACTCGACACCGGCGTCGGTTGTAGAACGACCCCGAGTGAAACCAAATTGTATAGGAGACATTACTATAAAAATGTGCACACATCTGAATTAGAATAATTTTTTCAAATATTTTACTGAGAGTTGGTAGTATTGATATAGGTCTGAAATTGGTGGGTCAGAAATACTACCAGATTTGAAAAGTGGAATAACTTTACTTTGCTTCATGAGGTCAGGAAAGACACCATCATCAACACATTTATTAAAGACACAGGCTAAGTAAGGCGCAATACAATCAACTATAGAACTAATTACTCTGACTGAAAGACCATCAAGATCAGCAGTATTTTTTATGTTTATAGACTTAAAGGCTTTAACAATATCGTTTGGAAATACATGACGGAACCTTAAATTAGTGATACTAACTGCATTATTTTCTTTTAGTAAGGATTCAGCGGCGGTGGGAGATGAATTTAACGACTTAGTAGTCAAAATTGTAATGTCCGTAAAAAAAATTTCAAATATTTTAGCCACTTCTGCGTCTGTGTTTACGATTTTGTCATTAAATCTTAGTTGAAAATCTAAGTTACGAGGTTTGACCCTTCCAGTTTCGCTGTTTATAATATTCCAATTCGTTTTTACTACATTCGCGCTGCTTTTTATTTTATTATTTATAAACATTGCTTTGGCTGCAACACAAACACGTTTAAACATTTTCGAATATTTCCTAACAAAATCATTAAAACTGTTACTAGTGTTATAAGTCCTTTCATCGTAAAGATCATATAGTCTTTGTCTACTTTTGTGAATCCCACAGTCGCCCTATCACTAAATTTCAATGAATTATTAATATGAATCATATCAATATATCAATGAATTATTATTAATATTAGTTATGATTTTGAACCTAAAAACGTTATCACGTTCACTTTTCACTATGTTGAAAACTGAATTATACAATTTATTGGGATCGTTAACGTACGGAAGCTCAGTTAGTTTGAGCATTACATTATTTCTATAAGCTTTAAGTCGACCATTATTTATCGGAACACATGTCATATTCTTTTTTGTGGCGTTTTGTCAACAGTTATATTAAAAGTGGCCAATTGACCGCAGTGATCAGAAGTTAATTTATTTATAATAGATTTATTACTAGGTACGGCGTTAGTATAAATGTTGTCTAAACAAGTGGCAGTAGTAGAAGTTATTCTAGTAGGCACCAAGAAAAGATTCACAAGATTATAACATTGGAAAAACGATATGAGCCTACTGCTAGCACTGGAATCTTCTAATAAGTTAATATTGAAGTCACCACAAATAGCAATATATTTATTTGGATTGTTTAATTTGCCTAAAACTTCATCTAATCTTTTTTCAAATAGTTCGTAAGATGAATGAGGTGGTCTGTACACGCTTAATATAACAAACCGTTCAAGCTCTATGCAGGATATCTCTATAGTCCGCTCAATAGATAGGCTCACAATATCTGTACGTTCTTTAAATTTTAAATTATTTTTAATAAGAATTAAAAAGCCGCCATGAATAGCTTTTTCTCTGTTGAACGAACTAGCCACCTGGTGATTGTTGAAGCTAAACATGAACTGATGTTTTGATAGAAAGAGGTGTTCAGTAATACAAAGAATATCAATATTATTACAGTTAATAAATAATTCTATTTCTAACTCTTTGCCTTTCATGCCTTGAATATTTTGATGCACCAGGTTTAATATACAATTTATTTTATTTCTGTGTGTTTTAGGTTGGTTCGAATCGAATATTTTTCTGTGTGAAATTTATAATTTATAAATGAACCGTTATGCATATAAATACTCCCATTTCGTTTCTATTTCATCATTCTACTTCCATAATAATAATAATAATAACGGCACGTATTGTTCGCCGATTCTTGGACCTGAGTCCCTGACCCCGGCCGACTGTGCCATTGCCGGGAAATACCGCCTCTCCCATTTAAAAATTCAAAATTAATCTTTTAGGCCTTGGGAGAGGCGAGAGTTTAAAATAAATATAATAATATTAATAATAATAATAGTTTTTTATTTAACACAACGTAGGTCCACTGGTTACTTTACAGAAACTTTAGGTACTTTGTTAGTTTATATATAATTAAATATTTGTAAGTGTAACAAAATAAAATACAATCAAAATTAAAATTAAAATAATACAAAATTGAAAAAATTTAACTTTAAAAATTAAAAATTGAAATATTATAATAAAATTACAAGAACTTTTTTAAATGGAAATAATATAAAGAAAAATAAACCTTAAAATTGAGTAAAAGAAAATAAAATAAAATAAAAATTGCCCGAGCTTGATCTACATTTTGATTTAATTAAAATTTTTGAGTGGGTTGCCCTACCACTACGCTAACAAAATATTCAAGCATGGGCTCCGCTGTTTTACAACTAAACA